ATAATAAAGATTTTTAATTTTCGGAGTATCTTTATGTTTTATTCTTAAATGTTTATTTAAACCAGACACTGATATGTATTTAGCATCGCAAACTTGGCAATTAAACATGGTTATATATTTTTTGGTTTTAATTATGTGTAATTATATTTAATAATAAAATAAAGTAAAATATTAAATAATACATAAATAATCAAAAATTCAAATCACATAATCACAACACTATATTATCATGAATCGTTTTTTTATCAACGATAACTGATAAGATGATAAGGATTAGACTAGACGTGATTCACTCTGGTGGACATTTTTGACACCATGGATCACAAAAAATTTTTTCCTGCGAAGATCCAATCGTAGGTATAGTCGTTGCTCTATCCATTGTATATGATCTAAGTTTTAAGGGTTCCTTATTATCACGAACTAAGATATATTATCACGAATGGATCATAGGAGGAAAAATGTCTCACTGTCCATGACGTCATTATGCCGTTTATCATTGTTGATAACAGTTGTAGACAAACATATTATTATACAAAACGCGTTTGCGGCATTTTTAAAAAAATGTATTTGAATAGTAACTTTCTTATTAGTATTTTATAGTAAGAAATTATTTAGTAAAGGTAGCTGATGTATAATTTTGGTTTATCTATTTAAAACAATAGAAAGTACCCACTATTAAAATAATAAAAGTATAATGTTTAAAATAAGTTAAAACAAAAAACTGAAGACAGCAGTTTTTTATACTTCCTATAGCTATAAGCAGAGGCGGACAGACCAGGTGGGACAGTGATAATAGCCTACAGCCTGGCTGAACCATGTAAATTTTAAGCTAAAATTTAATATTAATGATTATTAAAATAAATCTATGTAAAGGTATTATAGGTAATTTTTAATATGGAATGGTTATAAATGCAAGTTGTCATTAATAAATAATAAAGAAAATGAAAAATTTTATTTTTAAAACTTAATATATTTATTTAGGTAGGTATATATTAGTTTACATTTTAGGGTGATCAAACAAGTACAGCTGCCGAGAATTTATTGGTAATGTTTTTAATATCATTGACAACTATTTATATTGTTTTTAAATACCTACTTATTATTCCTTAGTAAATATACTTAAAAATCAGTACCTACTTGTGGCTTGAATAGAGAAATGATAGGATACCTCTTCACTTTTATAAAAATATTCTTAAGTTCCTATTTTCTCTAATTACATGTACCCCTTATTCCCACTGCGCCGACCACCCCCTGTACGTATCTGGACCTTTACAATTCTATTAATTAGAATTAAAGGCAGTCGGAAAAAAACTATGTAATAAGTAATACCAGTGGAGGCTATCCCATGGTATAATATGTGCTGCTGAAGTAACACATACAACATTTGGTTGGATGTTGGGTGATTTTTTTTTATATTAATACTGAGACTTATTAGTGTAACATAATTAAAAACAAAAATAATACTAAATACATGTTCTGAATATACAGCATAGGTTGAATTAATTGTTATTAATTATAATGTCATTGTGCGTGTAAAATATAATCCTATTTATATTGGTACTTAAGATTCTTAAGATTCTTATTATATTAGTATAATACTATAATATATAATATTATAGTACTTCGTTTCTGATAACCTACTTTTATTTTTTTTTTTTGCTCAGTACTTAAGTCTAGATTCTAGGACCTACAATAGTGATAATTCGGACCTTCTTTGAACCCCCCCCCATTTTGAAATCCTGGGCACGCCACTGCTCATGTCATTGTATACCTTTCGGAATCCAGTCGATCAATTATTGACAATTCTTTATGAGAATATATATTTAAAAAATTGTCAGAATCCAAAATGGAAGATTGATAATAGCTCCTTTGTGAATGGGTACGAAAAATCTGAAATTAAAATAAACAATAATAAATATATTAGGTGTACAATATACCGCCAAGGCATATAAATAAAAAAGCATGCAATAAGTGCGTATTACAACTACCTCCTTAGCATTTTTCCACTCATTTAAGGCTTTAATTACAAGCTGTCCTAATGGCTGCCTATTGATTCCACCAGTTTTAGCAAAAATCACGCAATGTTATCACGCAAATATTATTCTTACAAGATGTTTATTTTCATCAGAAATTGAATTTCTTTGTATGAATAAACCTACATCATTTTTGTGATATTGCTGTATGTTCAAGGGTTCTTCAATCTTTTATATAAATACACATAAGGCGTAAAATGTATAATAAATTAATAACTAAACTTACATGAATTGGAACTTGAGATGGGACACCACGACCATCACTATCCTCAATTGAAGTTAACTCAGTGGATGTGGATTCGTTATTAACTGAAGGCTCATTCGGCTCATTCTTGTTTTATATTTTTAATTAAATAGAACAAATTGATATAACTATAACTTATATAAATAATATTACTAAAAGTTCATTTTTAAATGTCAGTTCTTACCTCATCTTCGTTTACTTCGTCAGCTTTTGATTTTTTTACAAAAAAAGAAAGAATAGTATTCTTTCTTTTGTTAATCTCATGCTCATTAGTGATATTCATACTAAAATACTAAATGTGTAGGCACTAGGCGTGTAGCACCACTGCATCAGTTATGGAAATATAAATTTTAACATAAACAGTCACAGAGGCGTCAACAATCAGAAAACTATGTAAAACTATTAACTATAATATTACGTGGGTAGTAAAAGACGTCGTCACATCAAACAACGGTCGTTTTGCGTCAGTGGTTATCAGTTTATCATCACAATTATTACGTATCGAAAAAACCACAGATGTCTATATAAATAGAAATTTGTATTTGTAGGAAAAACACTTGGTTAATCTATGGTGTTGCGTTTCACGTACTATGATTGTATGAATGTATCATGAATGATAATATGATAGGCGAAATATATAATTTGAGAGCCAAGATAAGGACATGGTGGATTAAATCCGTAATTATAATATATTATATTATATTATTATAATATATATTTTATATGTAAATAGTCAATACATTAAACATTTAAAAAAAAAAAAAGGCTCTGGGGGGGATCTATCCCCATAATCCCCCCCCCCATAACTACGCCACTGAATAAAGTAGGCAAATCCATAGGGGGGGCCTCTTAAAAAATGTCAGTAGCATGTCCTATTTTACAAAACCGCTCGCGAAAACAATGACCAACCAACTCTTTTTATAAAAGTAATAGAAAATGTTATTTATTTATTTTTTACAAGTAAAAAAAAAAATTATAGCTGAGAACCTCTGCAAACTTTTGCCTTGGAATACTTGTCGATAAGTTCAGTCATATCGAGGTCTTGTGCTGCTTCATACTCCATTGAAAGTAAGGCTAGATTGCTTGTTCGATTTTGAATCATAGTTGAACGAAGATAATTTTTTAATCTTCTTAGTACGCTCATAGCTCTTTCAGCACTCACACTTCCAATGGGTAGTGTTAAAAAAATTCTTGAAAGAGTTTCCATTTGGGGCAATACATCAGACAATGAATGTTTAAAAATGAATGCCAAATAACATAATATATTATTATTTGTGCTTTCTGATTCTTTTGAATTAAAATAATAACTCTGAAACGACATTATTTCAAGAGACAATTCGTTTACAGTAAAGTAACTATATTGTAACACCAGAGCTTCGCACTTTTTCTTCACATCTTCTATATTTATTTTTTTTAGTACATCTGGATTTAAAAAATTAAACAAATCTAAGACTTTGGAAAATCCATTCATTCTCTCATTTAATTCGCCAATCATGTTGTCTAATGTTTCAAAATAAATTTGTCTATGCTTTTCTTCTTCTGTTAAACTTATGCCTCTAGTATTTTCATCAATTTGTAATGGCATTTTTTTTTGTCCTCTTCTTTGGAAATTCTGATGGTCCTAAAACATCCGTAAAGATATCAAAACTTGACCAAACAGTTTTTGCCTCTACAACAAAAGCATTAAATTGATCATGAGTTCTTAAATCACTTAATTTGTCTACTACAGATTGAAAACTTTGTACCACCAAAAACAAGTCATTACTTTTTGACTGCAATAATCGGGATACTACATCAATAATTTGTAGTATTTTATTCCACCACATTAAATTTAAAAAAAATAACCAATTTAATGATTTTATTAAACCCCTAGCTCGGAATAAACTTTCAGAATTATTTTCTGAATTTTCAGATTCTTCTTCTAAACATTCTACAAAGGATTGAAAATTTGAAAGTAAAGCTTCAGTTGCTTTAACTCTAGCAGACCACCTTGTTTTACATAAACCTTTTAAACGAAGAACATGTTTTACTTTATTTGAAATATTTTTTTCAAACTTGTCATTTCTGATGTATTTTAATTTTTCTGGTCATCATTTTCTATTTAATTTTCACTATCAGTATGTAATGAAATATTATTAGAGTCTTCTAATTCACGTTCATATAAATTTTGATCTTCATTTACTAAACTTGTAAAACATTGGGCAGATTTTGATTTTTCTAAATGTAAGTTACCTGATATTTTATAGATAAGAATAAAACTAAATTTATTTAGTGACTAGGGCAATGGATATATGGAGCATAGGCTTTTTCATTATTACAATTCTCTTTTAAGTAATCATTAATTTTTTTTTGGAAACCTCCACGAACACCACTCATTACCGCAGCCCCATCATATGCTTGGCCAACTAAGTATTTTGGATTTAGTTCATACTGCTTGAAAAGAACATTGACTATTAGGTCTTTTAAAGAATTAGCATCTCCCTTTTTCACTGGTACAAAACATAAAAATCGCTCAGTTATTTTTACAGTCCTTTTATCTTTATTAATTTCTACAAATCTTATCATAATGGCCATTTGATCTGTATGGCTAATATCGGTTGTGGAGTCAGCTATAACAGTAAAAAATTTTGCGGCTTTACATTTTTTTTAAATTGAATTTCTTGTTTCAGATGCCAATATTTGTTTAATTTCTTCAGTGATTGTTTTACTTGTATATTTTATTCTTAGGCTTGATTGTAAATGTTGTTCAAAGGTAGGTTATGCTTTGCTAACAGTTTTAAAATCGATAAGTAAACTCCACAACGTGTATCGTTGATATTCTCTCTATGTCCTCGAAAAGCTAAGCCTAATACGGAAAGTGTCAGTACTACATCAAATAATAATTTGAGGATTTCACGCCATTTTTTCACTTTTAATGAATACTGCTTTGAAATCATTGCTTCAATAGATTTACTTTCAGAATAGTGAACTAAAGCTACATCAGATCTAAAATGTTGTTTGCTGTTACAATGAATTATGGCTGACTGGGTTAAATGTTTCCAATCCGAATAACCAGAAACCCAAATTGATTGCTTAGTAGCATTATCCCCAAAAAGCCAGCAAGGATGACAATATACAACATTTTGCATGATTGAGTAAGACATCCAATGGTACTTGGTTATCTCGTTCATAGAATTTTTTATAAAATAATAAGATGATGAAAAATGACGTTTTGTCTTAGGATCTATCGGAAAAGTATTATTTGTCATGTCTTTTTCAAACGGTTGACATGCCCCATATTTTACTAGAGATTGTAACAACTCATTTGTAATTTTTGGTTTGTCTGATGTCGTTACGGTAATTAGGTAATCTAGAATATCAAGCTTAGTTTTCATATTTAATTCTGTTTTTTCATTATTTTTTGTGTTCAATTCAGTTATTGTATTGTTAATTGTATTCATTTCATTATTAATTGTGTTTGATTCAGGTATTTTATTGTTAATTGTATCTATTTCATTATTAATTGGGTTTGATCCAGGTATTGTATTGTTAATTGTATTTATTTCATCAATTTCATTAATCACAGACTTCATTACAGGTATATTTTTTATCGTATCACTGTTAGGTGTAAAAAAAAGTTTGGTTTGAGTTTTACATTCACGAGCTGCTACAAGAAGTTGACTTTTCTTTTTTGCTCTTTTTTTTGCCCCCGATTCAAATTTTCTTTCTTCAGACATTTTTCTATCAAAAAAAAAACTAAAGATAATAATATGTATTCAAATTAATATTCAAAATAGGTACCTATGTATCATTCATACATTTATCGGCTGAGAATTTAATACACTATAGTAATATAGTCCAGTCCAACTAATTCCTACAATAGTTCACATAATTTAAAAAAAAAATGTATAATTTTTATAAATAAAATAAATTCATTTGAAATTGTATTTATTGTTTTTCTGCAAATATTCCTAAGTATTAGTTGTTCATTATTTTCAATTTTATAATAATAAAATAACATTATAAACCAAGAACAGTCTAGTTCGCCCAGCGTTATCTACTATACAGATATTAATTCTTAATAAGTATAATATAATAATAATAATTTATGGGAATATCTATAGCTATAACCGCCAGCTGGCGACGATGGCGAAAAATAACGGACATGATATAAGTATTTATATTTTAAACGAATTTGAAAACATTACATTTACATAACAATTAAAATTGAAATTAATTTTACTTGTTTAAAAGTAAAATTAACTCAAGTTAATCAAAAGTTAATTCAAAATCTTCTTAAGTTAATAATCATAAAAAAATTAACTTATTAAGTTTAAAAGTTAAATTAACTTATTAACTCGTTAATGCCCAGCCTAGCCGTTGAGTGTATAAACATATGCAATATGAAAAACATAATGCAAATGCATTAAATTCACAGCCCTGTTTATTACATATTTCAATATTATGTACGTTGCGAATTTACTGCGGAAATAGTATTCAATAAATCATAATTTACGCGACAGGGCCGCTAATTAAGTAATGAAAAGATTGTTATTTTACTTACAAAATTATTTTTGTCGTAATCTTGATAACGTCTTCATACGAATTGTCGTTTCGTCGAATTGGAATCAAATGATTAAAATAATAGATTTTAGTAGCCACAAGGCACAAACTCACAAATTACTGTTGAAACTTAATGGTTATTTTAGTTTCCACGATAACAAAGTAGGTACCTACTTGGTATTGGTGTATTTTAATTTGTATTGTATGGGAAAACCAATTCAGCGAAATTTATTACGTTTTAACATCAATTATAACTATAATAAATAATATTATTTATGATCACTGATCAATGCCCACTACGTGGAAATGTAGAATGTTGAATAACTTATGTACTTATGTATTGAAGTATTCCTAAATATTTAAATTATTTTATTAATAAAACAATAATCAATTATATTTCAGTTTGCAATAAACAATTTTTTTTAGTCAAAATTAAAAAAAAAATCAATTACATAATTTAGGTGGGCCTCGGTACATAATTAAGGAGGGGTCTCGTCGGCATTTGACCGTTTAATCCGCCACTGATTGCACTGATTTTATATTATTATTATTTATATTAATATTACCTATAGGTAATTGTATATAATTATATAAATTATACGAATTAAAAACCTAGATTATAAGTGCCATGTTTACTAAATATTTGACCAAAACACGCAGTGTCGGTTTATTGATACTGGGAAATTCAATTAATAATTTATAAATACCCCACACAGCAATGCTGCTGTCATAAGCGAAAACGCCGTAAGTCCCAAAAAAATAAAAAATGAGGTTATAAACAAAAAATTATTGTGAAATTCGGCTTGTGTAGATGAATATGCTGTATGTCTGAAATATTACTCCAAACATATAATACAATCAATAATCAAATCACTTAAACGCCGTAAACCATAGAAAAATTCATGGGTTCTAGGTAATAACGCCGTAAAATCACCATACTAAGCATTAACGCAGTAAGTAATATTGAAGATACGGCATTTTATCTTCGTACATAGTACAAATTTTAGTTGGCGGTATTTTGGCTTAGTAATACGGAATGGTTTACTTATCGCAAAGCAAGTCGACTATCGGAACATTTTATTGATAATAAACTTATTCGATATTTAATTATTTTTCTACGGTGGAGTTTAGTTACAATTGTATCGTTGCCACGTTCAAATGTAATAATTTTTAAATTTTTAAAATGAATAATGAAAACGATGAACCTTTTTTTTACGATCCAAATCTTCTGGTTCTACCTGCCTCACCAAGTAAGCATCGGTTATAATTAGGGACCGGATTTATATGCAAATGCATATATGTATTGGAATAAGCTTTTTGAAATCTGGTGAAAATTTTCCCCGATTTCGATCACTCTTATTAAAATAACACCAATTTTAGTTTGCATATTTTGCATATTTCAACGTTTTTACCTATTAAATACATATTGAATGCATATTTGTAGTTTTAAAGTGCATATTATTATTTATAACACATATATTCATTTTTCGTCGTATTTTCACGTTCACAGACACATAAAATCGATAAAATTGATACCGGTCGTTATTTCCAAAGATAAGATTACATACTTCATATAGTCATATACTCATATTCAACATATATATATAAATATAGATAAATTCGTTGCTCATATAATAGAATTCAAGTGTTAGACGGCCAGTTTTCGATGTCAGTCCGTGTCTTGTGTTTGATGTTTAAAATTGTGCCCGAGTACACAATTTGTTGAAATTTTTGTTTCAGTTTTTGTTAATGTGAGCTAATACTTTATAGATTGAAGATACAAAATGTTGAATGGCGACGAAGACGAAAAAATACTTTAAAAGCTTTTTTATACTTTTTTAATACCATATTAATTAATAAATATTGTTACATAATTTTACATAATACATTTACATATTTTTAAATAGTTTTAAACAAAATTTTAAGTGCATATTTAAGTACATATTTAAAAATAAATACATATTTTATAACATATTATAGCATTTTTAGAAGCATATTTTGATGATTTTTTGTGCATATAAATCCGGTCCCTAGTTATAATTATGTTTTTTAATATTTTAAAACAAACTTTCAGAAATATATCATCTTCCTTAATACAATTACAGATTCAACTGAAACATTAGATGACCTTGATGAAATAATTGATATTGCAGCGTTGCCCATGCACTTTGATGACGGATTCGTAATTGAAAATGTCGATCCAGCTCACGACAATACATCAACTTCGAACAATTCCGAAAATGAGGGTCTTGAATTGTTTTGCCAGAATGTCTGGATAACTGCTTGTGATATGTAGGGATTTAAATACATTTTATTATATTATATTATGCTGTATAGTTTTTGGTATGGAAAAATAATTAACTTATGTACTAAATGTTTTTGATAATTTTGAGTTTAATATGTTCAGACCAAAATTACACTTTTTAACTGAATGCCTAAAACAAATGACGTTATACATTTTACAACTTACTATTATATTTCTTATTCTGATAGATCCTCCTTTAGTAACCTTTCTTGTTTATTAAGCTCATTTTCATTTTGAATTGGCCACAGTGTATCTGCAAAGGTAGCATTATTCTCATCACTATCTTGTGATTGAAGCAAAGAATTAATCGAGGATAGTTTATCCATAATGTTTTTAGTTGTGGTTTGTAAGGAATCAATATTATACGATACACTTTTGAGTTGATATTTAAGCCCAATTATTGCCTTGTTCATCATTTTCAGCTGATCTATAAAACAACATTTTTTAATTTAATTGTAAATATATATTTATAAATAATAAATACAATATATTAAGAAATTGTCACATTATTAAAATAAATTATTTTATATTTTATATATTGTGATATAATCTTATATTATATTACCATCAGCGTTTTCACATATATGCTTTTTATTCATGTTGTCTTGCTCTTCTGTTGTTCGTTTTTTAGTAACAGATTCTTTTTTTGTCTACTATGAACATCTGATGAATAAAAAGAAAATGATATAAAAACTAAAATTAAAACACCAAGACTCAGTGATTGCTTTTTATAAACACAAACATTTTGTAATGGGTGTGGTATGAGCTGTTGAAGAGCTTTGAATAGTACTCAAAATACTCATAGTGTTGAGGTGTAAGATTATCATCATGACTCATTTTTGAAGATGGCTTTTCAAGACTTTTACTACCAGCTATAATTAAACATGATACAACCCTCACAGCACACGGAGTCCCGGGAACCAACAAGGAGTATCCTCATAGTCTCCTATACAGGAGTCCTAATTTAGGAATCCCAGGAAGTGTTCCCGGGACTCAAGTTTTAATCAAAAATATTTTTATATACTGTACTTTGAAGTACAGCACAGGGAGTCCCAGGATAAATCCACGAGTGTCCTCGTAGTGTTCTATATAAGAATCCTAATAGTGCCCTATACAGGAGTCCTAATTTAGGAATCCCAGGAAGTGTTCTCGGGACTCAAGTGTAACTTAATTTTTAATTAAAAATATTTAACGTATAATTGTACAATGTAATTACAATGTAATTCGATATACAACACAGGAAGTCCCAGGAACATTGGCACAACTTGGGAGGCACAACTTATATACGCTTTCCCCCACATTTTTTTTTGATAATTTAAAATGTATTAATAATTATAATAGTGATAAAAGCACCACCCCCCCCCCCCATTACTCTAATATTGGTTCAATTTATTTGTGGGGCTTCAGCTCCTCTAATAATTCAGACCTAGCAGGAGCGGATCCAGACCAAAATAATGGGGGCGATTTAATTTATTTAAGGGGTAGACCACCCCCCTCTTCCTGACCGGGTCTATTCACTCTGTTCTTGTTCGCCGTTAGTCAGCCGTGTTCGCCGCCGTCGACAATTAACAGTTAACTCTGCCGCCGCCAGAATGCACTGCAGTAGCGCTCTCTATAATGCGCGAGTTTCGACGGATTTTCGTCTGCCGCCCATAGATATTAAAGATATTTATAAATTAAATATATTATGGTGCCACCCGGTGCTTCTATTATCTATACCCGGTGTTCTCTACTTTGTACAGACCACGGTTATCTACGTAGATAACCGTGGTACAGACATTATATAATCTTAAACCGTGATCAAAAGTCGTTCGGCTGATAATAATATAATATTATATAATATCTTATATTATAATTGTCGTTTATCATATGGACCGCGGTCGTAAATACTGGTAATTGGGTTTTTCCAGTGAGCCGATATCGGTTATTATGTAGGTAATCGTCCTACACCACCGTGAAGTGTGAACATTCGATGATTTCGATGGCAACCACGATGGCAACACAAAAAAGGTAAGGAAATAGTTTGATTATTTAAATAAACACCTATTTTAATTAGCTCCATATAGTACTATAATATATATTATGGTACCATCAGTGGCGACGTGAACTATTTTATTTTATGAGGCAAGTATAAATGCTCGACCACCACCACCACATTTAACTTTTACCTTTAACCCAATATTGTCTATATATATATATATAGCTAGTTAAAATAGTTTTTATATAGTTCTTTTAATTAATTAAATGCAACATAAGTTATTGATCTGATTTTTTATTAGGACATTCTATTATACAAATTCAGATTAAGATTTTATGTCTAAAAATGTACACATTTTTATTTTTATTAAATTTTGTTTTTTTATAAAGTTCACTATAGTTAACTATTATATAAAAATTAGTATTTTGTTATAAACAAATTTAATATAAGTGTACACTGTACCTATAAAATACCTTGTTTAATTCTACTATATTACTGTACTTTATTACTTTATTATAGTGTGCTACTCTGCTGCCTTCCTACAGTAAAATATATTTTTTTTATTTTAGTTTTTTTAATTTCAAAGAAAATTAAAACCAATTAATGCAATTTCTTCTCGGCAATGCAGGAGGCGTGTCAATAAAGAAATGAAAGAATTTCATTCTTTAAATAATTTGTTAAATTATGATCTTGTAAATAATCGAATTATCCCTGAACCAATAGAAACATCAGATGTTCCTCAAATCAGAATACCCTTAGACCAGAATCTTTCTAATTCAGAACCCACCATTCAAAGTGTGTATTCTGATTCTATACATATAAACAGAAATGTAAATGATCGAAAACCTACAGATTTTGGTAATGAATCAGCTTGTTGGGCCATAGAAGAAAATATTTCATTAAAATCTACTCATTCTCTATTAAAACTACTCAGAAAACATGATTGTTTTAGAAACATTCTTCCAATAGATCTAAGAACCCTATTACAAACACCAAGGTACACTGAATTAAAAGAGAACGAGTCTGGTTCTTATTGGCACAGAGGCTTATATAAAGGCATTAGAGAGATTCTTCTGGCCAATAACCATTTATTTTCAACTACTGATAGATTAGATATTATGATTAATATTGATGGGTTACCAATTAGCAATTCTTCTGGAAATCAATTATGGCCAATATTGGGTTGTCTATTTGGGACAAAATATGTTTTTATGATTGGTATTTATCACTCATTGATAAATAAACCGTTGGATGTACATTTTTTTTTAGACAGTTTTGTAAAAGAAACTTGCGAGTTATATGAAAGTGGATTTTATTTGAATGGCAAAATGTTTAAGTTGACAATTAAAGGGCTTTCTGCTGATGCCCCTGCAAAAGCATTAGCATTAAATATTAAATATCATACAGGATACCATAGTTGCACAAAGTGTTTTGCTGAAGGAGAGTTTATTGAAAAAAGATTATGTTTCCCTGACGATATCTATTTGCCAAAAAAGAACCGATCAGCAATTTGCTGAGCACATTATGCTGTGAAATCAGTGTATTCATCGGATGCATTTAATTTTTTTGTACGCTTTGTTTTGATATTATATGTATCGCAATTACGTAAATATTGAGCATATTATACTCAAATATATGTTAAGTACATAAAACAATGCATCTTCCCAAAGACAAGGGGCGGCGTGGGGGTCAGATCCCCCCCGTCGGATTTTTATTACCCAAATAAAAAGTTTTGAGAGGGTGGGGATTTTCCAATTTTCCCCTCCCATTTAGCTATCTCGTTTTTTTTTTGTTCCCTCCCTTTAAAAAATGATGTCTACGCCCCGGCTCGACTTCACTTTACCTAACCAGAAAACCAATAATTTACCCAATGTTTAAAACAAATGAGGTTTAACGATTAATATAAATAATATAATTGTTTGAGTTGTAAACAGTACCTATATTTAAAATAACTGATTTTGGTTTAATATGTAGGTAATTTACATGTATGCCAACTAGTATATGTTTCACTGTATATTTATTAGGTACTTAAATCTTAAAAGTACCTATTTTAAATTTATTTTAAATATTTTCTGAATGGATGTTTTATATGGACATTTAATTAGGTATGTATATATTAACTAATACCTAAGTAAAAATATTTTAAATTTGGTAATTTATTCAATAAATTAAAAATTAAATTAAATTGTAGCATGGTAATAGGTATAATTATTTAATACTTCAACTTTTTTTCTGAAGAATATCTATTATTATTTATTATTAATAATAAACCAAAAATACACAATATTCACTTGGATTTTACACTCAAACTATATATAATAATAATTATATATACTATATATTTCAAACTCAAAATATCCCTCATCCGGTCAATTTTGGATTTAGAATACAAGTTGATACATGAAAATGACTTGAAAAAAAATCAATGAATCTAAAATTATATTCAAAATAAGGGTCACCCTTAAAATAATGAAGTTGTGTTGTGTATGCGCAAAATACACAATTAAAAAAATTACAAGTCCTAGGAATTTATGATTCATTAGACTAGTTTAATGTCATTAAAAGAGAATTGAAAAATATTGACAGGTTAATGAGTGGTAATGTGGACCCTGTTTCTGGGGACCCACAGTATATAAATAAATAATAACTATAAGTACCTACGTAACAAATATATTATTTTCAATGTGTCATTTTTTTTTTATATATATAAAGGTCATACAAAAAAAAACAATGAAATCTAAAACACAAAATTGTACTCCAATTAAAAAATTAAAAACCAAACATTATTCTCTTGGCACCATTAATGGTAATTTATATATTTTTTCAATTGAAATAATTTTAAACATGTTAATAATATTTTGTATAGTATGCTATTTGATAAGCTTATTTTATTCTAGAATATACTAAAGAAGTAAAACCAGTAGTCTATAATAATCAAAGCATAGAAATGCTCGAAGACACTCAAAATAGTGATGCTCCTAATATTCAAACATCATCTGGGATAGGTATTAAGATATTTATGTTAAATACTTTCGCATTAATCAAATTTATTTTTTCATTTGTTGTAATAGAAAAATGGTTAATTCATCTTAAAAAAAATCAAGTTGTGCTTAATCAAAAATTAGACAAAATACTTGAAAATCAAGAGTTTATTAAGGTTCACATCCACAGTGCCAAACATGATGAAATTCCATTGGGAAATGACTTTTTAGAAGTTTATCAAAAATTCATTCCTATTAAATGCAAACAAGATTTAATTGAAATTGAAAATATGTTAACAAATGAATTAACATTTAAAGTTAATTTGGTAATTCATTTAAATATTATAGGTACTTTTAAAGTATTCCGTGTAAATATTATATTTTGTTTTAAATAGGGTAAAAGAATGTTTGGCTATTCAGGAGAAGATGTTGGTCGTTTTATGAAACAGGTTCTTGACAGCACTTTTAGTGCCCATTTCAGTACAAAAATAAGCTACACTGGCAAATGCCATAATAAAACCACACCTAATTCAAAAAAAGTTGCTTTAAGTTTGCTGAAAGTTTACAATTTAATTACAGGTATATATATTTTTATACATATAATTAAAAATGTTTTTAACAATATTATAATAATTGTTTTTCTAAATTATGTATATTTAAATAATGCATTTAATTCAGAGTTAGGATATTTTAATATTTATTAAATATACATAATATGCTATAATATAGTATATAAATAAAACCCTATAGGTTTTGTGTTATATTCAAGGATTTTATCAAAATGTTGATGTATTAAACATTTGCTCATACAATATATACAGAGAAACCTCCCATAACAGACATCTCTTAATAGTAGACAACATTTTGGTGACAGGGGTGTCCTGTATTTAGATGTTTCACTGTATATATATTATAGGTATACAATAATTAATAATTATAAATATTAGACTAAAACAATAATACTATAACATTGTAGTGTTATATAATTAAAATATGAAACAGCGGTTAAAATCTTCTCATATTAACATAGTCTCTAATTATATGAAATATTACCAATTTATTTTTAATTTTTTTATTAGAAACATGTCATAAAAAATTTCCCAACTGTTCTCATGAACTATAAGGAAGCAAACTGATAGCTGGTTAAGACATTGTACGCAACGCTTCAATCAACAAAAACAAAGACTTTTGGAAGTCAATGAACTGGAGTCAATTCAACTTCCTCATGATGACGAATAATATGATTTAATAAAAATAAAGATTAAGGTCACAGATTTTTTTTAATATTTACCATTGTGTTAATTTTTTTCTAATAAGCAATACTACTTATTGTATACAGTATAATATAATATTTTGTTATAAAATATAATATGTACCTATAAAAAAGTAGAAGTATTTATTAAAATGATGAAATGATTCCTAGAGTTTCTTATTAACTTTTTTTTTTTATTTCTATTATTGGTTCTTTTTAAATCTATATGAAAAAAGTTGTATCAAAGGCACAACCCCCTGAAAATAAGGGTGCCCTTGTACTAAAGCACTAAAGACATAACAGAGGAAAATATAAAAGGTAAGCCAAGCACTAATTGCAAAAAAAATATCCTGTTTCTTGATTCCAATTAGAAATCATCAATGATCTCTATAAGGAGTGTTAGGTGATTCCTATAAGGAATTTCTGGTGATGCCTATTTGGAATTTTTAGTGATGCCTATTTGGAATTTTCAGTGATTTCTATTAGGAGTTTCTGGTGATATCTAATAGGAGTCATAGTTGATTTCTACCGGGATTCCTGATTAACTCCAATTGGGTATTTTAATGCGCGGACATAAGGAGCTCATAAGGAAACTCCCGGGACTCCTATCGGAAATCCTAGTGCTATCTCAAAGTACTCCCTGTGCTGTGAGGGAATATAAAAAAGGAGTAAATAAAAATGACAAATAAGAAAATCATTTAGTAAAACACACATTTCTGTGTTGGAAGACATTCACGACGGTTTAGGTTACTTTCTAAAGAAACTGTCTTACAGATATTGTCTTAATGTTCTTCAACTAATAATGGCTGACTTTGAAACGAATGTTTTCTATTATCAGTATTAATTATATTGCATAAGTCTGGAGAATTAGATTCACCCATTGAAACTGTAAACATAATCACATTAAATTTAAATTATAACAAGTTTAGCATCGTATATTATAAATTATAATATATAGCAAGTATTGAGTAGGTATATACTTACAGGAACTTGAACAGCGGATGAAGTAAAAAAAGCCTTAGAGAAAGGATACAAAATCATTAAAATCTATGAAGTGCAACATTTCGAAAAAAAATCTAACACTTTATTTAAGGATTATATTAAAAGATTTTTAAAAATTAAATTAGAAACGAGCTCGTGGAAAAATGATTATCGGTCGGTTAATGATTATATTTCAGCAGTGAAAAACGCAGTAGGTATCGATATGGACATTGCAAATATAAAATAAAATCCTGGATTAAGGCGGCTTTAAACGATTGGATTTTTCATGCATTTAGACCAATAAGCTGGCGAAAAATACACATACTTCTAGTAGTCCAATTTCAATTTTGAATACTTATTTGGATTCGTTAGCCTCTTTTCTATGATCTGTAGGAAAAACTTTTTCATCTTTTTGTCTAGTTAGCACTTAAAAGTGCAAGTTAAATTTGAGAAATCAAGCAGTCATTTGGAACCGTAATATACGTAAATTATCTAAAATATCCAAAATCGGTTTCCTACAAATCATAAAAAAGAGGCGGACAAATTCAAATAATTTTTCAAAATTGAAATTGGACTACTAGAAGTATGTGTATTTTTCGCCAGCTTATTAGCATTTTTCACTGTTGTGAGTGTACAAAAATATTTTTCGAGAGTGATTACGTTGACTTGTGCATGCGCGTACGTGTGCTATTGAACGGTGTGCCCGCAACCGGGCGATATAAAATCTATTGTTATCGAGTTCGAATTTTTTCGAATTTCACACTAATAATCATTTACGACTAACACATAGATGACGGGCGGCTACGACAAGATTAGAAATTGCCTAAATTGTTCCCCTTAAATAATAGCCACTAAGAGCCGCCTTAAGAGCACTGGCTAAAATATGTTTAAATTCGTTTTAGGGCAAGTTTGGCCAAAGACCTTATCAAACGAAAACCGAAATAATATCAAAACCTAACCAGACAGGTGGTATCAAGTATTGTTGGACTGTAAATTGGAAACGGAAAACATTGTTTTCTTGACGGACGATTTAGTAGAAGTATCCTACAATTAATGAATTCGTCAGTCATGAATATAATACTAATATTATATACGTAGCTGCATTCACGACATCAAATGCTAGACTAAGATTATACACTATGTTAGATAATATCGGTGAGAAAGTCGTATATTACGATACAGACCTACTTCGTCCGTCCACTCACCAAACATACACCCTGTCTTCACTTAGGCATCATCTCAAATATAAAATACACTAAGTGCAGACAGGGTATATGTTTGGTGAGTGGATGGACGAATTAGGTCCGGGTATACATATAACCGACTGGGTATCTACAGGCCCTAAAAGTATAGAGCACACAGATAACGAAAATCGGACAACTACAAAAATAAAAGGATTTACACTGAGTCACGAAAATATTCAAAAATTAAATATGGACAGTATAAAAAAAATAATGAATGACGAAATAAGAGACATAGAACTGCGATTTCAACAAATAACACGAAATTCAAAAACTAAGGAATTGTCAACAATAACTACATCAAAGACTTTTAAAATGGAATACGATAAACGTATGGTTATGTATTCGGAAGGTGACGTAATAGAAACGTTACCATGGGGGTATATCTAAATATATCTGTAACTTATATTATGCCTATGTTTAAATATTATTGTATATATCTGTGATTTTTTTAAATTATACTTTATATCAATGTTCAAATGTTATTGTATACATTTTACCTTATACCAATGTTAAAATATTATTGTATATCTGTGATTTTTTTTTTAAATTATACCTTATAACAATGTTCAAATGCTATTGTATAAATATCTGTAACTTAAATTATACCAATGTTCAAATATTATTGTATATCTGTGATTTTTTTAAATTATACCTTATAACAATGTTCAAATGTTATTGTATAAATATCTGTAACTTATATTATACCAATATTCAAATATTATTGTATATCTGTGATTTTTTTTTAAATTATACCTTAAGCATAGGAAAAATAATAATAAACCAATTTTAAAATATTATATTATTGTTTATTAAATAAAGAAAAAAAAAATATTATTATAATCTTAAACATTATCATGATACCATTTTTTTAATGCAAATACTTTATACAATGTACATTGTTTAGGATTAAACTCCATATGAAAAATACAACATGGTAGTGTTTCTTCATTCAATTCACGAAGCCGAGGAAAATTTTCCCAGTTTTCCAAGTCGAAGACGCTGGCGTGCGGCATAAACTCGTTGATAATGTGTTGTTTGTGCAAACCTTTGACGTAAATTCTAGTGAATTTGAAAGAATCAAATATTTTTTGTATCTCTGTATACTCCACATCACCGTATTCCAATGATAAACCGTGTTACAAACGTTGTAGCCAGCTGTTTACACTGCGACTTTTTGCGTCTTGTGTTAAAGAAGTGTGTTTAAAGATCCAGTGTTGAGTTGCGAAAGTGTCCGTGTCTAAAATTGACATCTCTTTAATCACGTATTTTTTGTGCACTCCGAGAACGCAATGAATATCCAAAATGGCCGAAGACATTATAGTTTGCTTATAGTATCAACAGACTTGCTTATTTTTTTCAACTGTTCTGTGATATCTTGTAATGGTTTTTCAAGTTTACTTATACGCTCAGCTATATCTGAACACGTTATTTGTAACGTTTCCGTGTTGTTACTCTTGTATTTGAATGGATTTTTTGATTTTCTTTCGAGTAAACGCTCAAATTTAATCAATTTGGACGATACGATTTTAACGACTGTTCGAGATTTGAAATATTTTTTTTGTTCAGTATTCCGAGAACTACCAAACACGTTCAGGTCTATAGAGTGACTGAAATTAGTTTTTAACATCACTGTATAATCCAGCTATTGTGCGTATCGTCAAACCCCTTCCATTTTACCAATATCTGTTTCCCCTTCCTACAAATTATTTTCTCTATTAAATAATCGTTTGGATAATTTGTTTTTAATATTTCTTCAGAGTAAAAACAACCTGCGATCGGATTTCCATTATAATCTTGTAATTGATATGTAACGGGTAACTTTTTATTAATTTTTATTATTTTAAATATTTCCGTGGACCAGTTCGCTAAATACCCTTTTGAAAATACGGTTTTATAGGTGCTAACACGAACATAGTCGCCAACGTTGAATTTAATTTTTAAGGTAATAATTTTGCGTTGTTTTATTTCCACGCGGATTTGCATCGGCCTGTAGTGGTGTTATAGATATTGTTCTGTGTTTGAATATTGTATTCATCAACCAACTTTGGTAAAATAGATACCCCCATTCATATGATCCTCGTGCAGTGAACTCCCTATACATTTTTCCTTTAAGAGTTTTGTTGAAGCGTTCTACGATACAACCCTTCGTTGTACTATACGTAGAATATTTATGTATATTGTGTTTTTCCATCAACGCATCGAATGTTGTATTCATGGATGTATTGGTAAATAATGTCTTGAGTATACGCCATATTTTTTAAATTGTATCTCAAATAAAATTTTATCGCTCCGCTCGATAAATTTATACCTAGAAATAAAACCAACGTATCGCTTTTCCGTTCTTAAGTTTCAGTATCAACCAACAATTGAAAAAATATAAAACTCATAAGTATGTTAAAATTTTTATTGTTCAAATATTACGTTACAAAATATTCCAAATACTTTGAGTTTCAATATTTTTTTGAATTTTTTTGCATCTCGTATCGTCCGCCGATTTATGACGCACTAGCCATGACTTTACCTAGATTTCTGGTTTCCAAAGCTGTAATGGAGGTCCATTTATTTTAATAAACATAAATTGGGAAATATGTTCAACAGTTAATCTTGTTCGAAGATCATTACAAATAATATTTAAAAGGCTAAAGCCCCTTTCACACTCGGCTGTAGAACACGGAAATGTTTGAACACAATTATGCATTTCTAAGATCAATGTTCTGGAACTTTTATCTTCTTCTAGAAATTCTCTGAAACCTTGAATTGCGTTATCTTTATTCAAAAAAAGTCACATATACGTTTCACTTGGTCTTCACCATACCTTACACCAACCGATTGAGGCCAAGTCGCTTTATCAAGAATACAGATATCTTGAGAATTGAACTCTCAATCTCATTGTATTTAATAATCTTGAATTTAATTAACACAGATACTGTTATAAACTGATTACTATAATAGAAACAATTCTCGACTAACTAATTAATTTACATTTTTAAACAACATATTTGATACATTTTTTTTAAATTCCTCCATATGATCACCATCTTTATATTTAAATGACTCTAATATCCTTATTGATCTTTTAATTTTTGAATCAGCATTTATCAATGTAATATCTTAACTTTGGAGTGCCAAAGATTAATGTAGAAAGTTCGTGCACTACATCACACATTAAGGCTAAATCATAAATGAACCTCAGAACTAGGTTATTTTTTTATACAAACCTAAGTCTTTACTTCTTGATTTTGTGTCTCTAGATATGTCTAGTGAAGATGAATGAAAGTGTTGACTTAGGGCAGGAAATGTTCTCCACACAGATTTAACTGCACGCCAACTACTTGCAAACCAGCCAACATCTAGTACTCTTCCAATGTTAACAAAATACATATCTAGTTCACTGCAAAATCTTTTAACTCATTTTTGTTTTTCGGGGAGTTATTGCTATAATACATATAGTGAATCAATAAAAACTTTTGAATGATTAGTTGCATTTATATCCTTCATTGTATCATTGACATTCTAAACGATGATTTAGGCAATGCCAGTTAAAAATTAAAGGGTATTTATCTTTAAGTAATTTTGCCACTCCAGCTTTTTTACCGACGAGTACACTAGCTCCATCACTCACAAATGATATCCAGTTTGTTTTTAAAAATTCATCATTAAAACCAGATTTGTTTAAACATTCAATAAGTTGATTGGTTATATTTAGAGCTGTTTGTAGTCTTAATTCTACAAGTTCCAAAAATATGAATACTGGATCTTCATAAGAAATTGATGATTTCACATACACTATCATTGTAGATAATGTACTCATTGTTACGTACGTGTCTCCAGCCCCCCCACATTCGAATTTTCCAATTTTTTTTTGGCAAATAATTAGCATGCAATTAGCATGTATTTGCATGCTAATTTTTGTAATTTGCATGCGTTTTATTAGGCGTGGTATCAAAAAATAGGTGGGGGGGCTGTAGACACGTGTCTCCGACCCCCCCACAATCATAAAAACTTTTTTTTCAATTTTTTTTTATGCCAATATTTAGCATGTAATTAGCATGAATTGCACGACAGACCCCGAAAACTCTATCGTAATCCGTGCTTCGCAATTACTCATTTTTCTGATTTGCACGTGTCCCCAGCCCCCCCCACTTTGGGAAATACTTGGAAATTCAAAACCGTTTCTACGCCAATATTTAGCATGTAATTAGCATGCATTTGCACGACAGACCCCGAAACTCTATCGTAATCCGTTGCTTCGCAATACTCATTTTTCTGATTTGCACGTGTCCCCAGCCCCCCCACTTTGGGAAATACTTGGAAATTCAAAACCGTTTCTACGCCAATATTTAGCATGTAATTAGCATGCATTTGCACGACAGACCCCGAAACTCTATCGTAATCCGTTGCTTCGCAATACTCATTTTTCTGATTTGCACGTGTCCCCAGCCCCCCCACTTTGGGAAATACTGGAAAATTCAAAACCGTTTCTACGCCAATATTTAGCATGTAATTAGCATGCATTTGCACGACAGACCCCGAAACTCTATCGTAATCCGTTGCTTCGCAATACTCATTTTTCTGATTTGCACGTGTCCCCAGCCCCCCCACTTTGGGAAATACTTGGAAATTCAAAACCGTTTCTACGCCAATATTTAGCATGTAATTAGCATGCATTTGCACGACAGACCCCGAAACTCTATCGTAATCCGTTGCTTCGCAATACTCATTTTTCTGATTTGCACGTGTCCCCAGCCCCCCCACTTTGGGAAATACTTGGAAATTCAAAACCGTTTCTACGCCAATATTTAGCATGTAATTAGCATGCATTTGCACGACAGACCCCGAAACTCTATCGTAATCCGTTGCTTCGCAATACTCATTTTTCTGATTTGCACGTGTCCCCAGCCCCCCCACTTTGGGAAATACTTGGAAATTCAAAACCGTTTCTACGCCAATATTTAGCATGTAATTATCATGCATTTGCACGACAGACCCCGAAACTCTATCGTAATCCGTTGCTTCGCAATACTCATTTTTGTTATTTATATATTAGGTATATTCTGATTTTGAAATTCTTAATTACCATAATCAACGAAGCTACGGTATCAAACGCACATGTGTTGCTTAAGACCACATTTCCGGATATGTTTTGGGCTTTACAACTTTTCAACTCTTTGAACCTCTTTAAAAAAAATTTTAAAAAATGGTTCAAGGTTCAAAGAGTTGAAAAGTTGTAAAGCCCAAAACATATCCGGAAAAGTGGTCTTAAGCAACACATGTGCGTTTGATACCGTAGCTTCGTTGATTATGGTAATTAAGAATTTCAAAATCAGAATATACCTTATATAAATAACAAGGACTGTGAATTTGTAGGAAAGTGCATTTTTTTTTTTTTTGGTGATTGTGAACCGCACCTATTTAAGTACATAATTTGAATTATGTAACTACGAATCCATTTATGAAACTTTTATTTTGTATTTTGATGTCATATTTTGCATTTTTAGTTCATTTTCCGGCATTGTTAATCAAATTCCGTCAATTGACATGTTTGAAAAAAAATCAATACATAAAAAAAATTCTTAACAATGTTTCAAGTGAGTAGCATTATACAAATTTTTTTTTTTATTTAATAATGTACAAATGTATAATCTATATATATAAAAATGAATGTATGTCTGTGTGTCTGTGTGTCCATGTTACCATGGTTACCAAGGTTGCCATGGTTACTAAGGTTACCAAGATTTCATATCAATCTATATATATAAAATGAATGTATGTCAGTGTGTGTGGGTGTGTGTGTGTGTGTGTGGGTCCATATTACCATGGCAACCATATCTGTATATAAAAACAGTAAGCTGATTGACTGCTATCAACGCACAGCTCAAACCATTGGACGGATCTGGCTGAAATTTGGCATACAGATAGCTATTATAATATAGACGTGCGCTAAGAAAGGATTTGCCAAAATTCGAATTTTTAAATAGGTGCTGAAACAGGGACATTGAGATTCACGATAGAAATTGGAAATTTTATTTTTATTTATTTATAGTTGCCATTGGTTACAGTCTACATTAGAAATTAGCATTTATTTATTGGTTGCCATTGGTTATTCGGTCAGATCAGGTACAAGCTTGCATCAAATCGAATTATTGAACAATGCTTACCAGGGTGGCAGAGTTGCACTTACCGCAGAAAATTACACCCAAAAGGAGTTCAACAATCATAATTATTTTAAGAGTTGCGATTTTTTACGAGCAACCAAATTTATTATATTAATCCACAGTATTACATCAAAATAAACTGGTATAACTTTGATACTTTAGAGTTAAATCATACACTTCCGTACAAACAGCACGGGGTCCGCGATCTACCGCAGGTAGATTGCCTACCTGATAATGTACTGCCGCGATTCAGAATTTTTATTCAGGGCAACGGGAAAGATAAGATAAATTTTGAACACCATACACGTTAATGAATTGAACAAAGTTTGAGTAGGTAGTATTGAGTTGATCCATTTAAAGGGCGACGAAGTGCACGGGATCAGCTAGTATTCTATAATATCAATAGAAATATGTATAAAAATTAAATAAAAACCATTATAAGTGAATTTTATACTATAATTTTTGGCATTTTATATTGCATTTTTTGCATTTTAAGTGCGTATAATATTGCATATTTTTGACATTTTTAATGCTTTTTTTAAGGTTTTTTAGAGCATTAAATTCACGGCCCTATAAATAATTAATACTTTACTAAAATATTTATAAATTTAGAATATCGATCTGATCTTATAAAATAAATGTTTAATTACTTATTGAATAGATTTATGATTGTGAATGTTAATTTAATATTTTTAGGTGTCTTATTGTGATAGTAAAAGGTATGCTGAAAAAGTTGACATTCAAAAAAATCAGTTTTTAAATTTTATAACTAATGTTGTCAAATATGGAATTAAATCAATCGACTTATTCAGAAGACTAATTTAATTATAAATTATATGGATGTCAACATACAATCGCTGGACTATGACGTTACATTAGCTGTTTGTGACACAACAGCTGGATATGTGATAAAAAAAATGTTGGATGACTTCCCTACAGCCATAGAGACTAAAACATGTTCAAACGAAACATGTATAAGAACAAAAAATATTCAAAATAATAATATCATGTTTCTTACTTATCAAGTCAACAGCAGTAAACTATTTGAAGGACTTCAAACATATTTAGACAATAGAATTATATCAGATTATTCAAAATGCATTGAAAACTGTAATTCAGTAATATCAACTAATCTATTGGACATGCATTTGTTCATTGACATTTTATTTTGGGAAGGTAAGAACATTTTAATATACAAAATAATTGCATATAATTTGATATTTAAAACTGTTTAGCGTATATATCAGAAAAACCTAACAAATAAAAAATGGAAAAATGATACAAGTTAAACGTATTAAAAAAAAATTAAAATTATAAAAATAATAAATAATATGAAATTTATTTATGTCTGAAAAACATTATTACGTTTTGAATTAATTATTAATTCAGATAAATAATGAGAAAAATTTAAAAAAATAAACTCCACGACATATATAAAGGATTAAAAAATAAAAAAATGTGTACTGCACGTATACGTCTAAAAATCATATTAAAACTTTTATTAATTTTTATATAGATTAAAACAATTTTATTTTATTTTTCAAGTCATTCTGTTACACCTTATATATACGTATAGATCTATATAAATTCAATTCAATGTGCTATCTTAAAATTATATTAATTAATAACTTATTAACAATAACTTTATTTTAGAGGACGATTTAAATATGAGTCGACAACATAGTACAGAAGCTGCAAAGATTGTACAGATCAGACTATGTGACATTCCACAAATATTATGCAATGTAAATCGAACATTTGAGCTTAGAGGTGTCATAAGTTTTATACCTGGAAAAAGTAAATTAAGAAACTCAGTTGGACACTATAAATCATACGTGAAGAGAGGGGCATCAAATAATTGGGAAATATTTGATGATCTCAGAAAAAAACCCATTCCCGTAAAAAGCACAACAAAAGTCAATTGTGAATTTTTATTTTATACAATTTAATATGTTGATTTTTTATTATAAGTTTGTTTTTATTTACATGTAAGAAAAAGGCCATTTCTTTGAATAAAATTAATTTTAAAAAGTTAAAAACTAAGGTATAAAATTTATTTAAACTCGATAGCCGAGAAAACACATGCTAATTACATGCAAAATATTGGCGTAAAAAAAAATTTGAAAAAAAGTTTTTGTGATGTGTAGGGGGGGTCGGAGACACGTGTCTACATCCCCCCCACCTATTTTTTGATACCACGCCTAAATAAAACGCATGCAAATTACAAAAATTAGCATGCAAATGCATGCTAATTGCATGCTAAATATTGGCGTAGAAACGATTTTGAATTTCCAAGTATTTCCCAAAGTGGGGGGGCTGGGGACACGTGCAAATCAGAAAAATGAGTATTGCGAAGCAACGGATTACGATAGAGTTTCGGGGTCTGTCGTGCAAATGCATGCTAATTACATGCTAAATATTGGCGTAGAAACGGTTTTGAATTTCCAAGTATTTCCCAAAGTGGGGGGGCTGGGGACACGTGCAAATCAGAAAAATGAGTATTGCGAAGCAACGGATTACGATAGAGTTTCGGGGTCTGTCGTGCAAATGCATGCTAATTACATGCTAAATATTGGCGTAGAAACGGTTTTGAATTTCCAAGTATTTCCCAAAGTGGGGGGGCTGGGGACACGTGCAAATCAGAAAAATGAGTATT